CCCTGGGGAACACCACTAGTGACCGGAGCCAACTGGATGTGGCACCGTTCACTAACACTCTCAGGGCCATCAGCCAGTTCTGAACCCAGCACAGAGTGCCCCAGTCTACCTGTGCAGCTGTAACAAGGTGGTTGTTGACCTTGTTATAACTGGCTCAGTCACATACAAAGCATAGCCAGGGTTATTTTTATGTAACACCTAACAGCATAACTTGAATTTGTTTTATTCTGACTCAATACATAGTGTTATCTTAGAAGCTGTTTTTTGTCAACACTTGGTTCTAAGCTGTTACTAATTTCCTCTCTCCCTGTTAAGAATGGCACCCGGAGAAGAACACCTGGGGGTGTTTATTTAAACCTGCTGAAGAACACACCAAGCATCACAGAGAAGCAAATCAAGGTAAAAATGTTACGAGTGCAAATGATTATCCAAAGTGCATTTTGGATTGGGTTTTTCTTTCTACTAGAGATATTGTGATTGAATCTCTCTTATAACTTCCCACAAGTTTAACTCTGTATTTCAAATAAAACATCCTATCACATTCAAAACAAAAGCAGAAAAGACCCACCCAAAAATTGCTGAATTGCCATTCACACTATGCAGAGATAACTCCCTTTCACATACTGCCGGTCACAAAAACCTGTTGAGAAGATGAGAGTGAAGAGGTGAACATTGGATTTTCCTTAGTTTGTGTATACCTTACAGCAGTGTTACTCATGTTGTGTTCTCCCTTTGGAGCTCTCAGTCAATGTGCATGGATTGAATGGAGTTCTCCTGGTGGAATACTTTTTTCCTATACACCTCCAGCTGTGGCATCAGGCAGTATTTGTCATTAAGTCAGATAATGGTCTGAACCTATTCTGAGTTGCTCACTGGCCTCATCTGTTGTACTTACCAAATCAGTTTTGTAAGCTTGTAAATATTATTGCCTTTACTTCTAGGGTATGAAACAGGCTGAGATAGTATTTTGTTCATTCAGTTAAAACAACTTTGGGGTTTTTTTCATGGTGTTTGCCACTTAAATGAGTCTTTTCAACAGAAATATTAATTTTGCTTGTAGATGGCTACAGGTCACTCTCTAAACCATCCTAGCAACTTATATTGGGAACTGAGAAAGAAACCAACATACACTGTGGTTGGTTTATGTCTGGACAAAAAAAAAAAAACCTCAAGAAAGAAAACAAGATCCTTTCATAGCTTACAGTGGTCCCAAAAAGTCGAAAAGTTGCAAGTTTGATCATTTTACCCCATTACAAAAAAAAATAAAATGAACTGCTCTTCTGTGCCCCCTTCCATGCACTTCTAATTGTGTGCTCATTCTCCTCTTGCTGACACTGGCAAGCACGTGATGAAGTGGTAGTGTTCACTCAGGGAACTGGTGGCATGAGACATCATTTGTCATAGAAACCTGTGGATAAACTATGTGCAATCCAGTCACTATGAAGGTTGTTGTGTGTACAACTCTCACAGATTTGTATCTCCCCAACACTTGGCTTTGAGCTTTTGAACAGGAAAAAGAAGCATTAATGTTCTCTGTGTGCAATTTATGTTATTTAAGAAGTAGGCAGGGAAGGAAACGCCTATAGCAGCATTTAGCACTGCTGCATGATGTTTTCCCCCATGAATATCAGAATCAGTCAGGTTGGAGAAGACCTCTGAGATCATCAAGTCCAACCTATGAAAAAACCCCACCATGTCAACTAGACCATGGCACTAAGTGCCACGTCCAGACTCTCCTTAAACACCTCCAGGGTGAAACCTGGAGGAAATTTGTAACATTCATCTTTTTCAGTAGAGAAAGAAATTAAAGAAGTTCACAAATGTTTGACTAAAGATCATGAGACGTGGACTGAAACTTCAGTTGTGGAGGAAGATTTTCTGGAGTTGTCGTAGGACCTTTGGTGATATTTTTCTCTACAGGTGCCACTGTATGGTAGCCCAGCTCCCTGGTCTGCCACCCCTTCCTCCCAGTTTTGTATCAACAGCAAACATCGAATGAAAACTCACTGATACTTACACTTTGAGATTGCTGAGAAATTATTAATGAAGTGATTTATGGGGCATTTCGCCTAAGTGCAGTCTATTCTCTACTTCTGCTATCAGTAACGTGTGTCTTAGTTAAATATTGACCAGTATTTAATTTATTAAGTTGGACATGAGGAAGAATTTCTTCACAGAAAGGGGGATTAGACAATGGAATGTGCTGCCCAGGGAGGTGGTGGAGTCACCATCCCTGGAGGGGTTTCAGGTGAGACTGGATGTGGCACTTCGTGCCAAGATCTAGCTGACATGGTGGTGTTTGGTCATAGATTAGACTTAATGATCTCAGAGGTCTGTTCCAACCTAGATGATTCTATGATTTGTGATAATTTCTGTCTTTTTACTTTAAATTTTCTTTAGGAAATAGCAGTAAAATGAATATTCCAAACTTTGTTTGCTTGTTTTCTCTTCAAGGAAATATTCTATCTGGAAAACCAAAAGGAGTATGAAAACAAAAAAGCTGCCAAGAAGAGGAGAATACAAGTGCTGGGAAAGAAGATGAAAAAAGCCATTAAAGGGCTTAACCTGCAAGAATATGATGACGCATCTCGTGAGACTTTTGCTAGTGACACGAATGAGGCTCTGGCTTCCCTAGATGACCTGCAGGAAGGGCACCATGAAGCCAAGATGGAACATGAAGATACTATTGAAATTGATCATACTCATGATTTGGAGATCTTCTAGCTACTAATGTCCTTGATGACAAAGTCTCTATCAGATACTTTAAATGAGCCTTTCTTATAATCCCATGGCTTCTTGTTTTCATAAGTGGCAGAAACATGGGAAATACTTGATGCTGATGGTCAGGATATAGGTCTTAGTTAAACTTAACAGCATGAAAGACTTTTAATTGTCCTATTACTTGTTTCCTAAGCTCTGCATCACCATGTTTGTACCTTAGAAAAAATTTTCATCACGTTAGGCTTATGAATTGAGGCTTTGTTTTAACCAAATGCTTCTCATCTAGTTAGTCTTGATATAAAAGATCTTGATTAAAGTCTTGATATACAAGATCAAATATTTTTAATGTGGCAATGTGTTAACCAAAACAGGACAATTTATGGATTAAGACTTGTAAAAACTGGTTGGTTTATGAAATTAATTTTAATGGTCAGTGACCTTTGAATAACAGCCTTGTAAATAAGCACTGCTAAATTTCTGCAGCAGTTTTGTCCTCTGAATTTTAATAGTGGCTCGAGCTTCCTACTTGTTCTGTCTAAACATTTTCCATGATTAGACACACATGTAACCTCCATGGATATTTTTGCTTGAAGACAAACAACTGAATTCTTTCTGAGTGATGGGATTTTAGCAAGCTGTGTTCCCCTCGACAGGCTGTGGACTCTCCATGCATATTTAAACCCTTTCCCTTGCAGTTCTTGTTTCTGTGTTTCTCCTGTGTTCAGTAAGATCATATGCAGCTCACAGGAGATGAGAAGTCTTTTCTGTGCTGATTCTTAAGACAACAGCAGTGTCCAGGCAGTGACTTTTTAACTTGATGCAGAAGACTGTTGTGTAGTTTGTAAGTCCGACACAACTTTTATGTGAACGTTGTTTTAATATAGCCTAAGAACAGGTGCAATACTCACTTGTGTGACGTATGCAGTGCTTTGTCACTAAGAAGTTGTGGGGGTTTATGTGACTTAGACACTATTTTCCAGTATGAAACATTGAGTTACTTCACATTCAAGCCCAACAACAAACTTCTGCACGTACATTTGTTCACCTGGAGTCCTTGGATTTCAGGAGGGAGGCGTAGCACTAAACCACATAAAGAAGTTAAGACATTGAACAATTCAGTACTGTCAGGAGCCTTGTTTAAAGTGTTGCAGTATTTTGTGAGTTCTTAAACATACAGCACATTCCATTTTCAGCTTCACTAAATTTCATTAGAGCTTTGACTTTTGTGCTGGTTTCTGTTCACGTGCCAGAGCTCTTTACTGTTAAGTTCCTCACTAGATGTGCAGCATGCCTATGCTGACAGTAGTTGCTCTTGATGACATAATGGAGTGTTTTGTTAGCTCATTAACTCTCCTAACAAACCTACGATGGTCAGAGTACTAAACTGATAAAATTCTGTAAGGAAAACAGAATTTTGTACTCTTTCTTGCTTTGAGACTGTACCATTTAATCCCAGTTTTGGGAACTGCTTGGGGATATCTTAACCATTTTTCTGGATAGAAACAGCCAATTTTGATGTTGGTTTAAGCAATTTTCTATCATTAATGTAACTTGCACAGTGTATTTTTTGAATGTTGATACCTTTAATGTTGAGTTCCCAGGTAAGGGGTACTGACATAATGTGTAAAAGTCTTCTCTTTAACAAATGAAAGATGATAACAGTGTCGTTCCAGTGTGTGACTAACTAACCTTTACTTATGTTCTGTTTTTTTTCTGTATTTTCTTTGGCTTTCAACAGAGCCTTTTCAAAAGTAAACCACTTCAAAATGATGAGCGACTGGTCTTAATTTCTATTATGATTTCCCTTATTTGGTATGAAAAAGGTTGCATTAAGCAGCACCAGTTTTTGTGTAGCACCATGGTGGCTGCAGTTCAGCTTTGTTGGCTTGGTTGGTGGAGCCACAGGGCTGATCCTCCTCTCTGCAGCCTGACACAGACCCCTGACTTCCTCTCCAGGAGGCATCTGCATGTGCTGGTGTGTGGTGGCAGCAGCCCAGCACTGGCCACACTATGAGTCCACATGTTGCAGAGTGACTTGTGGAACCACCACAGGTTTCAAGGGTGAGAAAGAACAGGCTGTGATGTTCCTGTGTGCACTTTTCTCCATATCTGACCGACGTCGCTGAAGGTGTTCAGGGATACAGTCATAGTTTCGTAGTATGTTAAGTGGTTGAAATGGACCTTACACATCACCTAGTCCCAACCTCCCCTGTCCTGGGCACGGACACCTCTCACCAGAGCAGGTTGCTCAAGGCTTCACCCAACCTGGCTGTGAACACTGCCAGGGGTGGGGCAGCCACAGCCTCCCTGGGCAACCTGGGACAGTGTCTCACCACCCTTAGAGTAAAACGCTTTTTCT